TGCAAGCTCATATTTACACAGAGGCAGTAAATCCGCAACCTTCACGATTCACCTGTGTTAGTGCCGTGGTGGATAAGGCGAAGCTACATCAACCAGCATTCCACTCCGCGGTGTCAGACTTTACAAAGAAAAATGAGGCAACTAGGCCCTGGATGCCCCGTAGACCTGACGGACGTTCACCGGACGACGTCTGTTCTCCAACTCCGACGGCTGATACACGCTGTATTTTCGGTGAGCGGCCGCTCTTACCGGCAGGTGCAGGACAGACAGTTATGGTCAACACACAGGAAAACTCCCTAGCAAGTCCTTGCAATGGCATAATCGTAGAATGCTCCATGCAGCCTGGTGGTTTGGATCAACAGTCGCAGACTCGTTGTAAATGTCCGCCAAGATATCAGTACAGTACCTGCCCTCGAATGCGTCCACTTGGGCCAACTAGCTTTATGGGAGGACCTGGGCAGGCGGTCTGGGTGCTCATGCCAATGCCAATGGCAATGGGAGCCAGTGGAATGGTAGGAAATCGAGCGCACTGCGCACGCTATGGTCGGAGATGATGCTTAAGTCAGCTTACCGGCAGAGAAAGCGTTTTCCTTATTCTTGCGTTGTTTTTTCGTTCTATTTTCTCTTCACTTCTCACCCTTATTTTCACATTAACTATTTGTTTAATAAAAAGGCTAACGCTTAAGTATTTTTTTTTTCGGTTGAATGACAGTTCCGATAAGGTGCATTCTTTAGGGCGTACGCATCATGAGAAGTTTAAGGAGTCTACGTGGCACGTGTATTTAGCGCAGTACTATTATCAGGTTCAGTTCCCTTTGATGGAAAACATGGAAGGAATCTGTAGAAGTTGTGTACAACAAACCAACGGGGCGGCCAATCTCCCGACCCGCAAGTGCGTCTGTCTGCTTAGAGTGAGTCACTGGGCCAATAGCAGTTTGCCAGTGCCTGTGATTGTGATTGGCTGTCGAGGGCTGTGTTCACGCGCCAGGGGTGGTAGTATTATAACTCTTTCCTCTGCCCCTCTTCAGACACCGAATGGGGTGAAGAGTCAACAATGTGGTCAAACTGACCAATCCTGTACTCATAGGCAGGAGAAGGGAATTAAAACACAGATTACCGTGCTAAGGCCCATCGAACCTAGGGTTAGGATGAAGTTAGAAGTTGTGTTAGGGCCAGGGGTAATCTAACGTTGTTGTTGTTGGGACGAGCGCTATGACTTCGGTTATGTTTAGTGTAAGTGTTATTTTTGGGGTTAGGACACGGTTATAGGCACCCTTCCTATAACATAGAGCGATGCCATCTATTTTGCCGCATGGGTTCCCATTCCTCTACCGAACCGCACCGGAGATTAGAGGTCACAGAGAACATCACTACTAGACTGATACTTAAAGACGAAACGGACACTCTGAGCCGAGGATTAGTAATGACAAACACAGAGGCCGAAACCTAGTTAAGGGCGTGTATGGTGGACTGAGGGAGGGTTTAACTAACAATATCGAATGGACGTATAAAGACGCACTGTATTGCAGTTAAGGCCCAGTCGACAGGATGACAAACCATTCAAAAACTGCAGCTCAATCTTCGAATCCTCCCCTTCATTTACTCGGAACGAAGATGGCATCGAAACTGCGTGGAAATTAGATAACTGGGCGACCCAGCATAATCATGTCAATACAAACCGGTTCAGGCTGGAAGAGTGATCACCAGTGCTGAAAATTTGTTCAGATCTGTTCGGCACACGAAAACGTAAGGTACTTTATCACAGTCATACGTGGAACAAGTAACCCCCTGAAACTAAGACAAAATAAATTATCCCTACATCAAGATTTCTTTTAGGACTATTTTGAGAGTTATGACCCTGAAACTTTGCACTGATTCACCAGTATGACCTGGGGAGGAAAGGCCTGCAGGATTCTATCATGACATGAGTTCGAACTGGCATAGGGGGGAGCATATAAACAATTCTGACCGCATAAAGCACCCAGCGTTAGTGACAGCACCATCAGCACAGGGCACAGTTCAAAGCAGACCGCCATGATACAGGAGCACCGTATTGGCACGCCGTGCACAAGCAACATGCACGTGACGTGATTTCGGGCGCGCATACACTCAAAAAATCAATAGCGGGAATATTCGTTCTGCGTGTGAAATGTGCCAACAATTGCGAGAAGGTAGGCATATCTGCCGCAGGTGAAGCTAAACGGAAACCGGTATGGAAGCAGCCATAAGCAGCAGAAAAGGTCAGCTGTCCGTTTGACAGCGCCATTGTACCTCTTAAAAAGAGAACTGCACCAAAAAATGCCCGAACATCGGAAAGAAGCGATGGACATTGAAAGAAGACGAAGAAAAAGCAAAATATCGAACGACAACGAAGCCAATCGACCTCGCGACACACCGTGGAATCGCGTTTTTTCCACGGACTATAGCACTTACATGAGCCTATCACGAACAGGGACCGGGGCAAACATTCATTTTAACCAAAAACATTCATTTAGGAAAACTGAAGATGTTTGCGTCTCCGCCACCTCCAACATACTGACAGACCTTTCGAGGCACAAATGCCATACTCAAGTGAAGCAGTCCGATTATTTCACAACAAAGACCGGTGAGCAGATGGTTTCCATATCAGATACGGAAGGGAGACCGGATGCCAATTACTGCTTGCGCAGAGGGAATGCCCATGGAGAATTTGAGCGGGAAGATGCTCCACCACCACCACCACCACCAACAAAGTTTAAGTTCAGAGCAAATCAGAGCCTTAGGCGATCGATTGAGTCAGGAGAGTACATCGAATTCTTAAGAAGGAGAGAACACGGCGGATGGAACTGGTTTGGCCGAAGGAAAAGGCGAAAGAAGTCTCCATCACACTTAAAAATAGGATCGAGAACAAGAGGGTGCACGAATTCCCAAAGCTCTGATCGCAAAGTTCAGGTTCAACCCGTGAAAGCGGAAGCTGACTATGCCGAAGGAATAGATGCAGTAACATTCAACAGGCGGCTTAAGTCGCTACTAGTGGACAATTCAGAGCCTAATTTCGAAAATCTGATACGCCTCAGCTGCAAACTTGAAAACTACATCGCTCTCAGAAGGGGAAAAACGAAGGAAGAATTGTCTATGGCTTCCAAAATGGTGGTCGATACAGATGAAACTCCGTGGGATAGGCCGTCAAGTCTTCCGCCAAATAGGGCATATTCACCGGATGATGCAGAGCAAAGGACCTCGGTTAACTCCAGATCTGGACTCCAATCACTTACTGGAAATGCAAATGCGGCTTCTCCGCGATCGGTGCGGGAAGGTGGAGGCTCCGTTCGCTCACCTCGATTGACGCTAAGCATATCGATTTCGAGCATATCTTCTGCTGAGCGGGTGAGTGAGGGTGCCAACAAGAAGGAACGCAAAGGTTGCTTCGGTCGTGGGAAGAAGAAAATTGAGGACGAATCCCAGCGGGACTGGTCGCGTGCAAGCAAGAGGTCCTTAATTCTGGCGAATACGCCGAACACGAAGAGTATGACAAGTACGAATACAGGAGATTCGGCCGGAAGAAAATCCACCAACAATCAGAAAGACCGAGGTTGCTGCGGTCGTGGGAAAAAGAAGAACGAGGATAAAACAGACCAGGATCTGTCATCTAAAGGCCCGTCTCAAATGAGTACCGGCTCCAGAAGGAGTAAGAAGAGCTCATTTTTCTCGAACCTTTGGAAGTCACCATCCAAGCGGGTCACCATGACAAGCGCACCTCGAAGTGCTGGAAGCACCCGAGGAGGAGGAGTAGGAGGACAAGAAAGAGAATTAGAAGGTCGAAAGGGACGAGCATGTACGGCTGACCTTTCACCCTCAGTGCCGCCTATACCTCAAACCCCAGTCTCCGCGCCAGTCATGCCCGTTCATATCCAACCGAGCCCAAACAATGTACAGCTTCCAGCGTACCAAG